ATCATTCTCGGGCTGTTGTACTCACCGTCATAGTATTTCCAGAACTTGAAAGTAAGTTTAAAAAGAAAAGAGCATCGTAATATCATAATCACCATTTCAGTCAGAAATTTCTAGAATTAATTTTCTTATTATCGGAAAAGTGTCATCGCCACTAACCGAACGAACGCTTTTAGCGCTTTTCGGCAATAAAATATAAATGAAAGACGAAGAATTGGGGGAAATCGTTAGATAGAGCATAAAAAAGAAAAAAAGGTCGGAAAAACCGGGAGGGAAAAAAAACGTGAACGTGTTCGTATTTATATACATAAATTTGTAAATTTTTTCGTTAGGTTGCCACACGGATCGAACGCCAGAACGCACCGAACGTCGTCGCGCGCGGAATCCAAAAGTTTTTTCTATTTTATTTTTCATGTTTCGCTTTCAGCAGTTATTATCACAAAAAAAAATGAGGAAGAGGGAGGCAGGGGAGTAGTGGGGGCCGGGAGTTAGTGGCGTGCTCCTGTAATCCAGCTACTTGGAGGCCGGGTGCAGCAGATGACTCTGATCGTGTTATTCGGATCCTACTTATTGCTCATTGTTAAAAAACGGTCGGCGGGAGCACTTCGGGGTCCCGATCGAGTGTTTTCGTCGGCCAACAGGGTAATTAGGGACTGTGTCCCGGTGCGAGGGGGTTGAGAGTCGTTTTCCCCGATCGCAGAAACCTCTTCACAAGGCTTTAGACTACGTCGCTTCTCCAGGAATAATAATACCGCTTTTAACTCTTTGTCGTCTGCTGGAAATGATGTTGATGTTACTCTTGTTAAAAATAATGATGAAAATGAAATTACAAGAGGAAATAATAAAAAGGAAATTAATCGAAAAGGTGAATTTTTTTTCTAATTTAATTTTTTAATATCTTCTCTATTATTTAAGTTTAAATTGATGTCTATGGTTGTTTACATATATTACTATTATTTTTACTATTTCCCATTGTGAGTTATTTTTCCCGTACTAATTTCAAATAAAAATCGTAAAATTTGTTTTTAAAGAAATTACAAAATGCACGGGAGAGTCAAAATAAGAACGACAGAAGAACAAAAAGAAATTGCAAGGCAAGAGAAACAGAAAAAGGCAATAAAATTTAAAAAAATAATGAATCAAATATTATAAAAATGTTCTTCACAAATGCACGACGAAGAAGGTTTAAATCTCACTGGT